GCCGATTAATGGGAGAAGAGAGGGAATAGAAAAGAGGAAAAGGTAGGGTCTTCTTCCTTCTTTCTCTACAAGCAAAATTCGACCAAGCATCAATGCTTGACGGAGATCCAAATTCCTAAACATCTCATTGCCTCATCATGTGATGAAGGGAAAATTCCTCATTTTTTCCTTATATTTTTTCTCTTATCCTAAGTCCCAAATATCTCATTGCCTCACCGTTGTTGTTTGTGTAGGTCTACCATATCAGGTCGCCAGTTCCACTCTTTAAACAAGATTATATATAATATATATTAAAAATATTTATAAAGGACTGAGCACCCCTACTTTTCCTTGATCCTTTTCTGTTGATGGTAGCTCATTTACCAACATATAACATGCCAATATCTCTGAAGTCTGAACATCCTAAAGAGGAATTCTATAATATAGGATGTGTTTCTAATTGTTTTTTCCTTTTTTCATAATAAGAGACTAGTTTAAGCCATAAGGCTATGTTTGGTTTGATAGAAAATAGTAGAAACATAAAGTTAGTGAAACTTCACAAGTAATTTCAACAGTAAGTTATTAAGGAATTTTGCAAAATTACTTGAGAACTTTCCCTAACTTTCTCCTCTCTTAGGCTCAGTTTGGAAGGAGTACAAATGCAAATATGTAGAGTGCAAAACCTTATATTTTGTATATATTTGTACTGTACATATTTGCATTTGTACTCTTTCCAAACTAAGCCTTATTTTCTACCAAACCACAGCCTAAAGGAACAGTTGTTGTAATAACAGCAAAATTTTACACCAATTGACTTGATCCTTCCACATCAAATCCAATAACAGCAAAATTTTACACCAATTGACTTAATCCTTCCACATCAAATCCATACAAAGGTCCTCTACACATTGGTTGACACCCATATTGGGTCATCCAACAAGTTCCTAAGCTTCAAAGAAATTGAAAAATCGCCTATTAACTCTTCCAAAGCTTCCAACATATCTTCTTTCCAAATGGTTATTATTCCCCCTAAAACATACCAAGAGGGTGCTAGAGTCTATCTCACTCTTCTTGACATTCACACTTCTTGCCCACCTTTTGTCAAGGGTTTTTTTTTTCTAGATGTAGTGCTTATAGTTTAGGATAATCATGGTTCAAAATATCGTCACATATCGGCTTGTATCCGTCAATACGTATCGTATTGGAGCCTTTTTGATACACCCCTACAGGGGGGTGTAGGAGATCACCTAGTTGTATATGGAGTTTTTTCCTTTAAGCTCAGTTTGGAAGGAGTACAAATGCAAATATGTAGAGTGCAAATACATACAAAATAAAAGGTTTTGCACTCTACATATTTGTGTTCGTACTCCTTCCAAACTGAGCCTTGAGAGAATATATGAACACCCTATGACATGAGATACGGTCAGGTAGGACATCACCTAGTCCCAGGAGACTATTATGTGAGGGGTTTTAGCGATATTCTGCACTTGCTAGGATGGTGGGTCTGACTTAACTAAGAATATGAGCCAAGAATCCATTATGTGGGGGCCATATGTCTTAGAGGCTAGAAGAATGATTAGAAACCATTATGTGAGGTCAGCTAGAATTTGGTGGGACCCCGAACCCTACTAGAAATCCTTCCAACGGGGTTTCTGTCTCTTACCTAAAGGAGTATGAGTTTCGAAAGGATTTTGTGAGGCAGGTACCATTGTGATTATAGGCCTAAATCAAATGGTTTAAAATGAATAGAACAACGGCTAGCTAAAATCAACAATTTTTGTAGATTAAAATGAGTAACATGAACCCTCTAGGCTCTAGCAAAAAATCCGAATACCAACCATTTTACTGGACCATATTTCCTTGATTAGTTGAGGAATTTGTGAATAGTTTTCAATTCTGAGAAATTGGTCTACATTCTTTCGCAACCTGTCCTAATTGCCAATGTAGAAAATGTGGACATTGAAGAAGGGTTTGCATAGGACAGGTGGAAGGACGATGATATGCAGGTCAAATGTTACATGTTAATCACCATGAGCCAACATGAAGACATGGTGAATGTGTAAAGCATCCTCCAACACCTACAAGAGTTGTATGGTGAGAGGATCCAAACGACAGGGTATGACCGTATGAGATATATAATAGCCTGTTCCGAATGAGGATGTTCAAAGGACAATTTGTCAATGATCACTATCTTAAGATAATATACCATATTGAACGACTCTAAAGGATTGGATTCATTATGGATAATGACTTGGCTAATGACCTGGTATTCTAGGTGGTATTTGATAAATCTGAAATTTGAAATTTGAAAAGTTAAAAAGATATTATTTGTATCTGAAATATGAAAAGAAACATAGATGCTTTTTTATTTTTTACAGGCTCTGAATAGATAAATTTATTTGTGTTGGATAAATCTTCAATATCTAAAATTCCTTGATTTTACTATTTTACCCATCAACAACATACTATTTGATAAAAATTATAAAATTGAAAATAATATTAAAAAATATGAATAAATTCCAAGGACTCCCACCTCCTCTTCATTTCCAACCCCATGGTTGATGAATAAATTCCTGAACTTCACTCCCACGTCCCTCAACACTATGACACAGTGGGACATCAGTTGGGGCTAGTGCTTATTATGTTGTCTGGTCTACGGAATTCGTTGCAAGCTTTGCTTGGAAGATGGGAAGAAGGCATAGATGAACAACGTGGAGAAGATGGAGCCCTGGCTCGTTGCCATTCTTGACGATGAAGAGGGGAAGTTGGTTCTTGAGCATCAACAGGTTGCGTTGGATGCAGTGGCGGTCAAAGGAGGAAGCTTGTTGCTGGAGAGGAGAAAATAGATTGTCATTGCTTTGCAGCGGCAATTGAAAACAAAAAAGTAGAGGAAGGCAGAAGCCATGGGACCAGAAAGGAGGAGGAAGAAGAAGAAGAAGTAGTAACTTGTCGTCAGAGGAGAAGGCTTGTCGCTAGAGAGGAGAAAATAGATTGTCACTATTGAAAGTTGCAACAACAATCAAAAACAAAAAAAGCAGAGGAAGGTAAGCTTGCCACCACTAGTTTGCCGCTGCGTCAAGTGGAGAGGAGAAAAACACGTTTAGTTCAGAACGTTTTAAGGGTATTTTGGACTTTCGACCAGGTCTGAAATGCATTTGACTGTGTTTTAGTGCCTGGCCTATCTCTTATTAATTTAGATATGAAAATTCATTTCAGATCCAAATTCAGATGCATTTCCAAACAACTTTGATGTCTGGAAAGTAACATTTTCAGAATTCAGAGGTTTGAAAAGTGTTATCAAACGCCACTGTAGTCTGTCCCTTATTTGTTCTCATAGTTTGTGAAATAAGATGGATTGCTCACTCTTTGAGCTTTTGAACATGGTCATTTTAGAGGGTATAATAAAAAAGACCAATGGGAAGGATATGATCCTTGTTGTGGATCCTTTTCCAAAGGAAAATTCAAGAAGAAGAAGTAGGCACCAAAGGCTAAGGAAAGTGTGAAGAAGAACAAGAAAAAGGATGCCAAGAAGAAAGAGATGAGCTTTTACTGCGGGAAGGATGAGCATTGGAAGAGGAATTGCAAAGAGTACCTTGCTAGTCTGAAAGACAAGGACAAATCTTCAAAAGGTAAGTCATTTATGTTCATGTTTGAAGCTAACTAGGAGTGGATCAAGCCGAATAGCTAGCTATTCGAGCTCGGATCGCCAAGGTAGTAAGAGGCTTGAGCTCGAGCTCAGCTCGAGTCAAAAGTTCGTAAGCTCGAGCTCAACTTAAGAAAAATGTTTTATAAAAATAAAAAAAAATTATATATAAAAATTATTTTTATTTGATACTTAAAAAAAAACTAAGAACTATAATAATTAGTTATTATTATATATATAAATAAATATATTATATATATTATTTTCTATAATTTATTATTATGTTTCTAGCTATTCGAGCCGACTCGCGAGCCTCATGAGGTGAGCTTTATTAGGCCCAAGCTCGGCTCGATTAATAAACGAGCCTGTAAATTGGGCTCGAACTTGGTTGAAAACGAGTTGAGCCAAGCTTTTCATGAACCGAGCTCAAGTAGCTCGTGAAGAGCTTGGCTCATGGCCACTCCAAAAACTAATATTACAATTAACAATAGTTCTACTTGGATCGTAGGTTTTGCATGTACTTCATATATAGCTATTAGAGCCGATTCGCGAGCCTCATGAGCCAAGCTTTATTAGGCCCAATCTCGGCTTGATTAATAAACGAGCCGAACCAAGCTTTTTACGAACTGAGCTCGAATAGCTCGTGAAGAGCTTGGCTCATGACCACCCCAAAAGCTAATATTACAATTAACAATAGTTCTACATGGATCGTAGATTTTGCATGTAGTTCACATGTTTGTATGTCCATGCAGGATCTAAGAAAGAGTGGGAGATTGAGGAATGGTGAGTTGACCCTACGAGTGGGGAATGGAGCAAGAGTTGTTGCGTTAGCTGTAGGGACTTGCAGCTTACCACTATTGTCTAGATTGAACTTAGAGCTCCATAATTATCTTTGTGTGACTGTAGCTATGAGAAATTTGATTTCATTGTCTGTCTTAGATAGAAAAGGTTATACAATGACTTTTAAGGACAAGAATTGTTGTTCTATTTATTTGGGAAATAAATTTTATTATCTTGGCGCATTGATTGATGGCTTGTATAATCTTAACTAATGTTGGATCCTTAACTAACGTTGAACATGATCAAATTGTTTCGTTCCAAAGAGACCAAGAGATGACATAAATCCTAAAATATTTGTGGCACTTGCGATTAGGTCATATAGAAGACAAAATAACTAAATTACCCTTTGTACGATATGGGGAGAGGATTGTAGATGTAAGTGGGCCCCTAGAATGGCTAGAGGAGTATTCACCTACTTATCACCTTTACCAATGATCATTTACGGATGGGTCATGTGTATCTTATAAGACACAAGTTTGAAGGCTTAAAAAAGTTCATAGAGTTTAGAAATATATAAGGTAGAAAAACAAATTGGTAAGAGTATTAAGGTACTTTGATTAAATTGAGGAGGTGAATGCCTTAGAACAAATTTCTTGGATCATTTGACGGGGAATGTAATAATCTGGACTCCACTGGGAACACCAGAATTAAATAGAGTTTTTGAAAGGAAAAAAAATCTATCTAGCTGTTCTACAATGCTTAATGCTTAATTAGAGAGAGAATTAACACACCCAATACTAGAGACTTAAATGGACCAGAACAACATAGAAAACAAAGCACACAATGATGTAAAATGAAGATGATAATGTTCAATCTCACAATTTACGTAAGATGATTTGAGCTCCATGTTGAGGATGAAGACTAGCAACTGTGTGGGGTGCATGAGTGTAGGAGGGTGAGAGATGGAATGAAAAATGTTGCAGAATCAGTGTCAAAGCCATCTTTGCTTCTATCATTGCAAAATTCTGCCCGATGCAAATTCGAGGGCCCCAACTAAATGGGAAGAATGAGAGTTGATTCTTTGTTGCTTTTGAAACTCCCTCTGAAAATCTTTCTGGCTTAAATTCTTGTGCATCTTCCCCCCAAAGTTCATGACTGTGGTGAAGGAGAATTATTGGCAGTGAAAGATGCACTCCCATTGGGAGACAGATATTGCCCAGTCTCACTTCCTTGTAAGTGTGTCGACCAAAAATAGTAGCTGGTGGATACAATCTAAGAACTTCATACAGAATCATGGTCACCTGCATAGAATTGAAGATGGAAAGTATTGTCAAAAGAAGTTTGTTAACTTTCTAATATTATGATATAGACTCCCTATACTGAATGCAAATTTTCAATAATCCATTAGGGGAACAGAGAGAGAGAGAGAGATTACAATTTTTAATTGGTTCAAACCATCAAAATCTGGTTTATTTTTTCCGAAGACTTGAATGACCTCTTCCCTTGCCCGCGATTGCCATTCGGAGTGCATGCTCAACACAACCATTGTCCAGGTAAGGAAAACTGATGTGGTCTCTTGTCCTGCAAAGTAGAATAGTTTGCACTCCTCTATCACTTCATCAATACTCATGCCAACATTCTTAAGATTTCCATGTTCTTGGATCTCTTTAAGATTGGATTCTAATAGCAACCCCAATAAGTCATCTGTAGTGGTTTCTCCCATTTTTATAACTTTTTCTCTTTTACTGACGATTCCCTCTAGTATTGTTCTCAGTTCTCTTCTAGTTTCTTTCATCCTATTGTTCCTTTTTGTGGGAAGAAACCTACATAAAGAATCAAATAATGGCAATAAAGAAACTTCATGATTAGCTTAAACACCCTGTAATGCATCTAGGCATCTGGCTAGTGCAACTGTTTTTTATTCAAATGCACTTGTCTGTTCCAATATATCATTTTAGGGTATCACATGAAAGAATATCTACAAATAATACTCCTTGTTCATACATTAATTCAATTTGAACATCTAGTGAACAGCTACAATTGAAGTAATTAAACAGCTACACAGTTTCATTACTCATTAAATTGGGTTTCTTTTTTGTCTTTCTAGAAATGGTTATCATCTGAAAAAGGAGAGACCTGTGAGGGCAATACCAGTATTTGATCACTGTTAAAATATAGAGATCAAGGATATATTTGTAAAGAAAAGAATTCTCTTAGAATTTAGAAGTGGGCATCAACCATTTGCAGTTTTGCAACAAATATGATTTTCACACATTTATTTTGTCCATCAAAATAAACTTATGCATTATATGTAATAATATTGTGTTTATATCAATAATTCAAGCATGTTGGATTATTGAAGCTCAATGTTTTCGAATGGCCATTGACCCAGCGGTCGGACTGTTTGGCATGGGAACCGTTCAGACAACCAGTTCCGTTTTACTCTAAACCCAGTCCCTGGCAAAAAACCATTGAATTGGTCAGCAATCCGTTGATCCGGACGATTAAACCATCGACTCGTTCAACGGTTTTTGGCCTTTTTACCTTAATTATTTTTTTTTTAATTTTTCATTGGAATGGGGCCATCCATTTGGACCGGATGATCAAATCATCAACCCAGAAACCACTGGCCAGAACTGTTCCAGTATCCACAAATTTCCAAAAGCGTGTTAAAAGTTAAAACCAATTGAAATGGTTAGCCTACCTGAAACCTGGGATACAATAATACATAGCAGACTGGATAACAAGGTTGAGCTGTTCATTTAGGAGCTGAAATACCCGCCTCCCTTCTTCGTAGCTGCTACCAAATGCTGCCCTTGAGATTATATCTCCAGTTAAACATTGGAGTTCAGGCTGCACATCCAATTCACATGACCCTTTAGATGCAATTAGGCTGTCCCATCTTGTGACCAGATCACTGCAGCTAGCATAAAACGCTGGCAACATTCGCTGTTGAAACAGCAAGGAAATACAAACAAAATCACAATTGTTGTCATATTAGCAAGAAAAGTTGAATGCAAAGTCATTGGGAGAAGAAACTATGGCATTTCCTCCCTTTTTCTTGTGTTAAATTACATAAAAATATGTAATTTATTCAGTGTTTTCGAACTGTTGTTGATTCAGACAGTTGGACTGTTCGGTCCAGGAATTATCCAAGCAACTAGTTCTATTTCACCCTTGACCTATTCTTTGGCCAAAAATCATTGATTTGGTCAATGCCCCACTAATCCGGGCGATAGACCTGTAGACCCGTCCGACCTAGATAATGGTTTTTGGCTTTTTATTTTTTTATTTTAATTTGGAAAGGGCCATTCATTTGAACTGAACAATTAAACTGCTGACCTAGAAACTGTGGTCAAAGCAGTTCCGGTTCTGGATCGGTTTTTAAAACATTGAATTTATTAACTAGTTTTAGCAGTAGCTTCATTTAAATAGACTAAAAAAAAATTATAATAGAAAAACAACCTTCAACTTCTCTAGATGGAAGGCACCGTTGATAAGCCTTCTATGTTTAGCCCATTTTTCTCCCTCATAGCTTAGAAGTCCTCTTAGAAATGACTTGGTTAGTGGATTTGGTTTGGGCCTCTCGAAGTGTCCGAACTTTGTAAACAGAATTTCCTTTATTAATTCTGGGTCGGTAATATAGACCCTGGGAGTTCTTCCAAACCATGAAATCGACATTCTTCCTGCATTTTGCAATAGTTAGTATTCCGATATTTACAAGCACAAATCAAAAGAAATTTTCAATTGAAAATAATGTATGATTAATGGGAAGAAATAAATGATAATTATTCAATTTTAGTCAATTCATTGAGAATTTAATTCTCTTAAAATTTGCAACTGGAGTTCCTCCAAATGCATTGAAGTTCTATTAAGGCTGTTCTACTTATGAAATTTGAGAGAAAGTTATTGAGGAATTTCGTAAGTTTCCTAAAGAACTTTCCCTCAACTTTTTGTTTTTCTCTTATTTTCTGTCAAACCAAACACAGCTAGCCTTAATGTCTTTAATTTGCTTGTCCAGTTAGGAAGCTGAAGCTCAGTGTGGTATTTCATACTGAGTTATAGTTACGTGAGCTCAGAATTTCTTAAGTGGTGATGTGCTCAGAATTTCTGAAGGGATTATTTGATAACAGCTGAAGTAGCTGAACTGAAGGGGCTATTTAATAATTAACCCGGCTTCAACTTAAGTCATTAAGAAGATCACAACCTGCTTAATAATTTGTTCACTAAAAAACAAAGCAACAAGTAATTCAATTCAGCCACTTCATCTGTTATGAAACCACCCAAGTCAAATAGACTGAATATGGGAAGTAGGGCTCAACTCTATATTGTATCAGTCGCAATTCAATCAGTTCTATGGCTGTCAATGGGTCAGATCATGATCCCACTCTTACTATAAGCCAGATATGGATCTCAAATGGTAAATTTGTTTGTAATTGGATCAAATCCAAATCAAACCTTGTTGGGTTCATCGTGTAAGAAGCATTCGGATCTTTAGAGTTAAACATGAGAGGATGTGACTATGCAAGAAGACCCTATCAACAGTACTGGATTAGTTAATTCCTCTGCTTCAAAATTCAGTTCTCAAGGAATCCATCCTATAGTTTTACTGAAGCTTGAACTGTTGTTTCTTGTATAATGATTTAATGCTTACATTACTGAGGGTCCTTTTGGTTTGCAGGAATAGGGGTCTAGAATCGGAATCGGAATGGGCTATTCCGATTCCAACTGTTTGGTTGAGTGGAATTGAAATTCCATTCCCATTCCTGCTGGAATGACATTCCCCCATTTGAGGGAATGAAATCCCATTTTTGCTGATTTTAATTCCTATTCCTATTCATGTCTGAGACAAATAGACTATGGGAATGGATCACTCGATAGAAAAAGAAAGAAAGGAATTCCGATAGAGAAAGAAAGAAAGAACCAAATTCCTATTCCCATTCGTGTTTGGTTGATTGATTCTCATCAAAATGATCTCTTTATTTGAGATAGAGAAAGAAAGGAATTAATTTTAACAAGGTGATAAAACTTCATATGGGAAAAGCATATTATTGACTTGAATAGTCTTGTAAAGGAAATGTTGCTTTGGCATGGCTTTTGAACAAGATGGGTGGAGTATTTACAGTGCATATATAAGTGAAATATTTTTGTACTAATAATCCTCTTTCCCCTTACCTCTACTCTTGAGCCAAGCTCTTTGATGATGCACAATCCAGCCGATCTTAGCTGTCAATGATCTTGCCTCTGAACTAAGTGGCAGGGACCTGAAACGGAAGGAGAAGAGAAGCTCCGGGGAGAACCCGACGTAAGGGCTCCGAAGCTCAAGTTAGAGTCTTTCAAAGGCAAGATAGACCAGATAGCGCAAAAGTTAGCATAC